ACAGCGGCCGATGTTGGTTTGGGACAACATTTGTCGTTGGGCATTACCCATTTTTTCCGTACCCATTTCGGGCGTCCAAATTCGCGAGGCGCGCTTCTTCCCAGTGCGGCGCGGGCTCATCGGGAGCATGGTCGGCGAGGAACCCAGAGATCCGACGCTCCCCCAAAACAGGGAGCGGGCGATTTTCGGTCGTTTCGGGCCTCGCCAGGCCTCGGGATCGCCAAAAAACGACTGCAGACGGAAAGCCGACCCTAGTAAAGTGGTCCAGACCTCCAGGGCCCACGCATCGAAAACATTAGAGCAGCCGGATGTCTGGGCAGGAGCTCACCGCTAATGACGGGAACCGCCCTGTCCGAACCGGCCCTGTCGACCCACACTGCCGAACCCTTGGTCTTGCACTCCTCGAGCGTGCACTCCTCGAGCGCGGGCTTCTCCTCGAAGATGGTGTTGAAGAGCAGTTTCTCGACGCTGGTGATGCCTGCAGCCCCAGCTCCCGCGGGCATGCCTGGGTGGGCCATGGCTGGCTGGCGCAGAGCTGCCTGGGAAGGCTGGTCCGGGAGGCTGCCCCCTCGAGGACGCACCGGGAGCGGGCTCGCCGAATTTCCTTGCTGCTGCCGAGATCGCCTCCTCGATCTTGGCTCAAGTCGGGCCTGTCCCTTCACAGGAGGAATACTCAAAAATAGTAAAATCATAGTCTGGGGACAATTTAATGAGGAATATGTTTTGAGTATTTGTCATTTTTCGCCCAGAATCCGCCTGTAGGGGGACATGCCCGACCTAAATCTTGGCCCTGGTCGCTCCTGCGAGAACTTCTCCTTCCGTTAGTACTCTTGGGCCCGCTCCTGCCTCGGAGATCGGCCCGGTATTTGGCCGAATGCTTGACGAGGTACTTCTCGCCCTTGGCAACCCGCCTGGTGCATCGACGAGGAAGCGCCGATGTAGCGTCGGCGAGCGTCAAATCAGCGTCGAATCAGCGTCGATTCGCGTCGACTGGCGTCGGCTAGCGTCGATTGGCAAGAGCCAGCAAGATGGCACGGGAGGCACCCGTGAATTGGCACCGACGGGGGTTCGCGGGGGTCTCTCGTCCTCGGAGCTGCTGGAGAGTCCGTCTCGGGGCACCGACGGCGACGGCTTTGGCGCTCGTCTCGTCCGGCCCGGCCGCCCCCGCCGTAACCGTGGTCATCACCACCTACCAAACCACCCCAACCCAACCCGAAGGCCTCAATTTGCCCTCCATTTCCAGTGTGGGGGGGGGGGGTCGGGGAACATTGAGAAAACACAAATGGAGCCCGTACCCCCCCAACCCGAAATTCGGGTCTTCGGGTGGGGTTGGGGTGGTCTGGTAGTTAGTCAGGTCACTGCAGTCGCCGTGCCCCCCCCCCCCGCGGGAGCCGCGGCCATCGTAGCCCCAGCTCGGGGACTCCTTGCCGCTCAAGCAGGAGTCTCGCTTGTCCCCGTGCGACTGGCCGCCGCCTCGCGCGACGAAGGAACAACACACCCATATACCCTTATGGGGGTCGGAGGGAGGAGGACTGGCTATGAGTATGGGTGCGGGTTGTCGGACCCCAGGGAAGGCCCTCATTCGAGCGGGGAACTCCATCTCGCAACGCACCCATAGACCCCTCCGTCACCCGTATGGGTATGTGCGCGTGGTGTTCTTTCATCATCGCACCATGGGTCTTGTGTCCCCTCGAAAACCGTCCTGGCGCAAGGTCCCTCGAAAGACGGTTCGAGCCAAACGCACGGCGGAGATACGTGGGCACGAGAAGAGAAGAGCTCGCGTTGCGTGGGTCGGGTATCCAAGTGACAGCATTTCCAACAAGTGCTCCGAAATCGCGACATACATGAGGCTGTCGGTGAGCCTCGCGGACATCCCATCGCCAGTTTTCCAATAATGTCGTCCTTGAGGTACCGAAGCGGTGTTGGAAGCGACCCCATCCACTACAATATGCTCGAATTCTGTCTTGGCCCGAGCCCTTGAAGCCAAGCTCGGTTCGGCCTTGTCATGGTCACCCCAGTGCGCCTGGGAGGAGCCGCATGTCAGAATTTAGCTAAGCGAGCTCTGGGGGCGCCTCCGGATCGTCACTGCAGAACAACCGGAGTTGGCTCCTCAAACATCTCTGTGAAGAAGTGGAGCAAGCACTCCCTACAGGAGAACCCCGACGTGGACAGTGTATCGTCCACGTACCTCTTCCATCGGACCTGTGTGGAAATCTCGGGGCCTCCGAATTCCAGGCGAGCGCGCCTAGCCTCGTCCTCTATGAACTCAGTTTCTTTATCCGCGAGAACCGACGAAGCATTCTGCCGCCGATCGACAGGTCGAGAAGCTCCACGACGATCGATCCGATGCACACTAGCACAGCCTGTCTGCGAAGAGGGCGCGAGCGAGAGTTTCGAAATCGAACGACCACCAGCCTTTCGACCAACCGCCCTGCGGGACACGTGCTCTGTATCGTTTCCCAGTGGCCACGTGAATGCTGGTCACCTCATGAAGCGCTGCCAACCTCCTACACGTTCTGCTCCAAGCGGCGGTCACCCTCGACGACCAGCATCTTTCGAAGGCTTGATCGGTGTCCATGGTTCAGATGACCGCTGGAGGCTTGTTCCGTCCGCAACCTGCGCAGAGGCGCTCCTGACACTGTATGGGTGAGACCATTTCCTCAGCGTGCGATGCTGCGCAGTCGAGGCGGAAAACCTGGTGTGAGTGGCGCGCGTGCTCCACGACTGCACAAAAGAGGAGGAGGAGGACGAGGAGGAGGAGGAGGAGGAGGAGGAGGAGGAGGAGGAGGAGGCGGAGGCGGAGGCGGAGGAGAGCATTTCGTGTACGTGACAGACTCCAAGCTGCTTCAACAGTTGGTTTGCGGTCATGCTCGCCTCCGGGATGGGCACTCCGAGCCGCTGCTATCCCGGGTGCTTGGACGTATCGTGCACCACATGGGTTCGGGATGGGCCCCGCCGCGGGTGTTTGACGACCCGGTGCAATGGTGGCCTCGGGAGTACAATAAGGTTGCCGACGGCCTCGCGGACTTGACGATGGACATCTGGAGATTTTGGTTGCGGCGGTTTCCCACGAGCATGCCGCTCAAGAGCGCGAACGTGGTGGTTCAGACCGACGGCGGCTTTCGAGACGGATATTGCGCAGCATCCGCGTGGATCATTGGCCAGTGGGGCATTCAAGCAGGAACATGGACGTATGAGCCACTCGTGGCCGCAGGCACTTTCATAGACGCGCCGTGTTCAGTTTTCGTAGCGCAGGCCATTGCCCTAGATGAGGCTTGGCGGGAAGTCCATGCCCTTTTCACTTCTAGCAAGTGCACTAACAGCTGAAACTTGTGTTTCTTGAGCTGCGTAACAGAACAGCACAGAACAGGAGGAGGAGGAGGAGGAGGAGGAGGAGGAGGAGGAGGAGGAGGAGGAGGAGGAGGAGGAGGAGGAGGAGGAGGAGGGGAGGGGGAGGGGGAGGGGGAGGGGAGAGGGGAGGGGGAGAGGAGGAGGAGGAGGAGGAGGAGGAGGAGGAGGAGGAGGAGGAGGAGGAGGAGGAGGAGGAGGAGGAGGTGGAGGAGGAGGAGGAGGAGGAGGAGGAGGAGGAGGATGGAGGAGGAGGAGGAGGAGGAGGAGGAGGAGGAGGAGGAGGAGGAGGAGGAGGAGGAGGAGGAGGAGGAGGAGGAGGAGGAGTGGAGGAGGAGGAGGAGGAGGAGGAGGAGGAGGAGGAGGAGGAGGAGGAGGAGGAGGAGGAGGAGGAGGAGGAGGAGGAGGAGGAGGAGGAGGAGGAGGGAGGAGAGGAGGAGGAGGAGGAGGAGGAGGAGGAGGAGGAGGAGGAGGAGGAGGAGGAGGAGGAGAGAGGATTGAAGGAAGACATCGATTGCGCAGACCTACCCTTTCATGTCTGGCCGTGGCCCTCGCCAGAGCCCTTACCTCCGCTTTGCATGTTTCCCGCTCTTACAAGAGATGGGGTATGGTGAGGTCCGCCGCCGAGTAATATCCTTTCCTTCGATGTGCTCGGCCCCGCGTCGCCACGGACGGATTCGCTTCGAAGCTATACTCGGAACGGCCCCCGGGAGAGGTCCGTGGAGCGAGCGGCGGTACAGGTGCTCTCGGTTTCCCCCAGGGGGAGGGGGCCAGAGAAGGGGATGGGAAGGCTTTCGCCTCAAACGGGGGGCTCTGCACGACGGGGTCGATGCACGTGTAGAGGCGTGCGCCCGTGGAGCAATTGTAACACACTGCCCGATTCGGGCTCTGCGCGTTTCACTCTGACGCTGGGCGGGTGGATTGTCAGGTGGCTGCGTTTTCCTTCTCTGGGGAAAAAAAGAGAAGGGGATGGGACTAGGGGATGGGGTTCCGAGACGGCCGAAGAGCGTGCGCTTAGGGCCTGGAGACGTAGCAACATGGGCCCGCGGTGGCCCCAAGACGGCGCAGGAGGGCATCCAGAGGTGGCGCTCAGGTGAGGCTCTGAGCCGGTATGGTGGAAGTTGATGGTTCAAATATGCAGGCGGATTGCGTTCACGCAGCAGCGCTTGGGGGGAGGAGCGAACAAGTCGCCCGCCCCCCAGCCCCAGAAACTTATGTTTCCATCGCCCCCCAATAATTTCAACATTTTTTTTTTTTTTTTTTTTTTTTTTTTTCCCCCTAAATGTCAAATCGGCGGCGAGTCGTCGCGGGCGTTCGAGGTTGAACGCCGCCGGCGGCCCATGATCGGCCAGCACGGGACGGTCCGGCGATCGACTGGCCGCCGACCGTGCGCTCCACGCGGTGCCACGGAGGCCCAGCGCTGGGGCGGTCACGACGCGAAGCTGCCGCAGACAGGGACTTGGCATCGCTCGGACGTGTGCATTTTTTTCTTCGGCGAGGGCCATCGAGGAGCATCCTTGATCATTTGGCGAAAAAGCCACGCACGAAACCGAAAAAAATACAGGGAATGGACGTCCGAGCGATGGCCAGGGGATGAGGCTTCCAGCTCGCATGGCCGTGTCTTCGCCACTCTGGCCTTCCCCCCCGGGCAGGCCGCAGGATGCTGCGGGCGTGGCTGTCCCCAAGTCGCCCGAGCGGCGAGGCCGGCGCGCGCGCGCCCACCTGCTCCCCTCGGCCCTCCGCGTGCCCCCCGGCGCCGGAACGCCCGTTCGCTTGAGGTTCACTTGACCGTTGAGCGTCTTCTGGGTGCACTGGCTTTCGAACGCCTCACTCTCTCTCTCTCTCTATCTCTGTTTTGTCCCGTTGAGGAGGAGGAGGAGGAGGAGGAGGAGGAGGAGGAGGAGGAGGAGGAGGAGGAGGAGGAGGGGAGGAGGAGGAGGAGGAGGAGGAGGGAGGAGGAGGAGGAGGAGGAGGAGGAGGAGGAGGAGAGGAGGAGGAGGAGGAGGAGGAGGAGGAGGAGGAGGAGGAGGAGGAGGAGGGAGGGAGGGAGGAGGGAGGGAGGGAGGGAGGGAGGGGAGGGAGGGGGGAGGGAGGGAGGGAGGGAGGGAGGGAGGGAGGGAGGGAGGGAGGGAGGAGGGAGGGGAGGGAGGGAGGGAGGGAGGGAGGGAGGGGGAGGAGGAGGAGGAGGAGGAGGAGGAGGAGGAGGAGGAGGAGGAGGAGGGGAGGGGGAGGAGGGGAGGAGGGGGAGGAGAGGAGGAGGAGGAGGAGGAGGAGGAGGAGGAGGAGGAGGAGGAGGAGGAGGAGGAGGAGGGGAGGAGAGGAGGAGGAGGGGAGGAGGAGGAGGAGGAGGAGGAGAGGAGGAGGAGGAGGAGGAGGAGGAGGAGGGGGAGGAGGAGGAGGAGGAGGAGGAGGGGGAGGAGGAGGAGGAGGAGGAGGAGGAGGAGGAGGAGGAGGGGGAGGAGGAGGATTATCAGGCTTCTTGGCTGTACCCGAACACTTTTTCCCTGCCCCAGTCTGTTTTACGAGTTTCTGCTCATGCACGTTTTTTGTCACTCGGCCCCGATGCGCAGTCCTATTTCCTGTCCTCGCCCCAGTCTTCGTCTCCGTTCCCATCCGCTTCCCCGTCCTTATCCTCGCCCTCCTCCATATGCTGGACCTGTCCCTCGTGGTTTTTATGTACCTCGTCGTGCTTCTCTTATCCTATGCGATAATGCCCTGAATCGGCGCTGCACCACCCTCTTTGGCGCGCGGAGCGCGCCAGGGGGCGGCGCCAGAGGCGCTGCCACGGGGGGGCCAGCGCAGATCCTAGAACTCCGAGCGGACCTCCGAACGTTCATGTCTTCTCCTTCGAATGACTAGTCTTGCCACGGCCTGCAATGCACTTGCTTCGTTGTGCGCGCTTGTCCGTGAAACGCGCGATGGGGATAGCCCTCGCGAGGCGCAGTGTATGTCTTGATCTGAGAAGGGACATATCCTTATCCGTCGTTTTCGGTTCTCCGTTGCCTCGCTCCTCCTCCTTCTCCTCCTCATCCTGCCGTTCCTCTCCCTATGGCGGCCTGGCTTCGTTCGGAGTGGCCGTCTCCAGGGCATGGCATGCCAATTTACAAGCCGCATTTGTATTCAATTTTCTTGGTGGAGCTCATGTGGATTTGCCCAGATACCCACTTCGAGGGCATGTGATTTGGCTTGTCCGCGCTTGCCCCCCCCCCAGCTTCCTTCTGTCCTCCCCAAACAGCTCGCGCTGAAAAAGGCACCCTGGCGGAGGACCAGGCCATGTGCAGCTGCGCCTCTCGCGGCGCAGGTGGGACGAAGCAGGGTGGGCAGCGAGCCGACTGCGGCCTGGGGGGGGGGGGGGGGGGAGCGGGCGTGGCCGAACGGGAAGCCGTCCTGGCTTCGCGCGAGCCCCAGGCGGGGACGAGCGGGCGGGGACGAGCGGGAAGCGGGGGGGGGAGCGGGCGGCCTGGACGGGGGGGAAGCGGGCGGGGCCGAGCGGGAAGCCCTCCCGGCTTCGCGCGAGCCTCGGGCGCCGCCGCTTCGTGCCCGCACCCTCCCCCGGCTCCTCGCCCCCTCCGCTGGCCTCCGCGGGTTGCGGGGTGCGCCCGCCCGCCCGGCCCGCCGTGGCCCGAGCCCCGGGGCCCCGCCGCTCTGCGTCCCTTCTCCCCCCCTCCTGTGTTGAGGCGGGCCTGTCCTCCCACGGGAGGAAGAGTCAAGAGCAGGTTAAACATTTTTTTTTTTTTTTTTTTTTTTTTTTTTTTTTTGTTTTTTTGTTTTTTTGTTTTTTTGTTTTGTTTTTTATTTTATTTTATGTTTTGTCATTTTTTCCCTACCTAGGCTCTGCCTAGAAGGGTTCTTACTCTGTTAGCTTAAAGGGGCCGGGCAGTGCACCCCGCCCCGGGCGGTTCCCCCGGTCCCCTGGGACGCAAGCAAAAGCAACAGCAAAGGTAAAAGCAAACGCGCGGTTCCCCCAGTTGCGCTCCCTGGGTGCCAAGCAAAAGCAAAAGCAAAGGTACAAGTGAAGGCAAAAACGAAGGCAAATCAAAAGCAAAAAATTAGCATAACATATCATAGCATATCATAGCATAGCACAGCATAGCGCAGCATAGCATAGCGCAGCATCGCATATCATATCATATCATAGCACAGCATAGCATATCATATCACATCATACCATATAATAACACATCATAGCCTAGCCTAGCCCAGCATAGCATTGCGCAGCATAGCATATCAAAGCATAGCATAGCATAGCATAGCATAGCGCAGCACAGCAACTACGACGATGAGGACAAGGAGGAGGACGGCGTTTACCGCTCCTACTAATGTTGCTTTCCTAGAGGCTCCAACTCCTAGGTAGGGTCGCGCTGGGATATTCTTTCGCCCAAAATCCGCCTGTAGGGGGACATACCCGACCTGACCCTGGTGGCCGCGGCTCTGGTCCGCGCAGTGCGGAGTTCCTGCCACGCGCGCCGGTCGTCCCGAAGGAATCCCAGCGTCGCGCGCGGGTCGTCCGCGGCGTGGGGCCGAGAAACACGGACGGCTGACAGCGGGCGAGGCGCCAAGCAGAGCACGCGGGTGTCGGGCAGCTCCTGCAAGCAGGGCGCGCGGGTGTCTCCGCGGCGCGCGCTGGTCGCCCCGAGGGGACGTCAACGACACGCGCGGGCCGTCCGCGGCGTGAGGTCAAAGGCGCAGCTCGGGCGGGCCGCTCCTCAGGGCAGGCCTCGCGGATGGTTTCGGTGAAGCCCAGTTCCTTGGCGAGGGCCGTCGTTTCCCTCCTGCGCCGCTTCGTGCGCGTCGCAAACGTGCCGACATAGGCGCGGTGCCGCCGCGCGAATGCAGTCAGTGGGGCGCCGGGTTGACGTCGCAGCGGGGCCGCGAAACGTGCGAGGGGTGTGCTGACACGGGGGCGGTGCCGCCATGCGAACGCAGCCGTTGAAGCCTTCGATGCAGCCCCCCATGGAGACACGAAGCGTGTGCGGAGTGCGCCGAGACGGGCGCAGTACAAGTGCCGCCATGCGAACTCAGCCACTGTGGCCTCTGGTGGGGCTCCATGTGAGACCGCGAAGCGCGTGAGGGTGTGCCGACATGGGTGCGGTGCCGCCGTGCAAAAGTAACCACGGGGGCTCTCGGTGGAGTTCCCCACGAAAAATCGGGAAGTGTGTGAGGTGTGTGCCCAAATTGGTGCGTTGCCGCCGTGCGAGCGCAACCGCTGGGGCGCTCCGAAGAGATTTCTTCATGGGGCCACGGAGCGTGTGAGGTGTGTGCCGCAATGGGTGCGCCAGTGGTGGAGCTTCCGCTGGGACCATCAAGCGCGTTTGGGGTGCGCCGAATTCGGACGGTGCCGCCATGCGAACGCAACCATTGGGGCCTCGGTGAAGCTCCCTCTGGGGTACCGCCATGTGAACGCAGACATTGGTGTCTTCTTATAAGCTCCATGAGGAGACGCGAAACGTGTGACCGGTGTGCCGAACAAGGCGTGGTGCCGCCATGCGAACGCTGCCATGTGACGGTCTAATTGGAGCCCTTTTTTGGGGGGCCACGGGGCGTGTGAAAGGGTGTGCCGAAAATGGGCGGTGCCACCATGCACGCACGGGCATGTTGGGTGCAGTTGGGGCTCCCTGTGGGGTCACGAAGCGTGTGCGGGTTGTTCTGGTATGCTTGACACCAGGAGGGCAGGGGCAAGGGTGGGATTGGGGAGGAGGGGGGGCGGGAGGGAGGAGGAGAGGAGGAGGCGGAGACGCGGGGCATTTCTTTGTGTCGAAACAACGACCCAACATCACAGGATGGTTGGGAGTATAATGAAGGTTCGAGTCCTCTTGCTCTTGCCCCCCCTCCTCTGCCACTTGCCCTTCCTGTGCCTCCCTGGGCCCCCCCGGGCTCCTCGCCCAGAGGCGCCTGGGTGCGAGGCCTCTGGTTCGCATCCCGACAGCGACGGCGAGCAAAGGAGCCCCGCCCAGTGCTTTTTTTTTTTGGGGGGGGGGCAGGAGCCTCGGCCTTCGGTCCTCCTTCTCGATCCGCCTCCCCTATCCTCGATCCTCGATCTTCGATCCTCCTCCTCCTCCTCCTCCTCCTTTTCCACCCTTGATCCTCGATCCTTGGTCCTCCTCCTCCTCTTCCTCGATGCTCCTCCTCGATCTTCCCCCTAGTTCCTCCTAGATCCTTTTCCTTCACCTCGATCCTCGGCCCCCGACCTTCGATCCTCATCCTCGATCCTCTTCCTAGATCCTCCTCCCCCTCGACCTCGGTCTTCCTGCTCGATCTTCGGCCTCGATCTTTTTCCCCTCGACCCTCGGCCCTCGAGGAGAGAGGGATCGGCGCCATGGAAGCCAGGACGCTGCAGACCAACGGACCAAGACTTCTGTTGCAGAGTTCGATCAGAAAAGCACGGCATGAATTTGCGGTAGGCTCGCGCCGTGTCGACTGGCGGCGACCCAGCCTGCCTGCGTTCAGCGCTGAACGCCGTCGGCGACGCAGAATCGGCCGATGTGATCTGACATTTTGGCTCAAGGTTCTGAGATGGCCGTGCCTCGCATGGACGCCACTGATCCGCGGACAGTCTTCGATTTTTCGCCTGTCAGCCCAGGCTGGAGCTTCAGCGACCTCACCCGTGAGGTCACACCTTTCGTCTTCCAGTGAGCTCTTGAAGGAGGAAGCCTACGGCTCCCACGGGAGCATCCATCAAAACGAACCGATCGATGGCGAGGACCTGAGACACCATCTGCGCAGGCTGCAAGGACTGGGTCTGCAGCTTGAAACTCGAGCGCTCGGGAGGCATGGCCGACTGGACGCCAGAGGGGTCCAGCTTTGATGTCATAGGTACGCGCAAAGGCAAGTATCCCAGGAGCAAGTTCCAGGAACACGAAGAGCCCGAAATGGCCTACAGCTGGCTCCAGACACTCGAGATCGCTTCGAGGAACACGAATGGAGCTATGGGAATACGAACAGCTCGGAATGACCTACAACTGGTTCCGGATGTGCAGAATCAGATCCAATACTAGAAGAACAGGACCCCATGCGGAGTTCAGCGCGCTGCTGGACCAGGTTGAGGCGGACCAAGCCCTTCGTGACCAGACGCTGATCAAGTTGTTGCAGCAACACGTCGCGCATGCGGCAAACCCCAAGCAGAAGAAAGGAATTACCCACGGATCCCGAGTTGCGGCAGGCGACCAACAGGCGCAACCGCACCCAGAGCACGGTGGCGACGACGACGCTTCAGCTCATCGACGCAGATCGCAGCGTGCAGGGGGCAACGAAAAATGACAAAGCGGTGGAGGATCTTACTGGCGTGACAGGCGCAGCCGACAAATGTTTTCATCCAGGAGAGCGAGTGGAGGATCCCTGAAGAGGGGGGGCCTTTCCAGCGACGCCGACGAGTGCGAAGAGGCAGGCCAGCAGCAACTCCAGAAACTCGGGGCGGCCAAAGACGAGCTGGTCAGAGCTGCAGCTCGGCAGGTCCATGTGTTCAACAAAATTCAGATACAGGCCACAACGCTCAAGCAGGCGCAGGCCAAACAGAAAGGGAATGTCGGCGAAGCTGGCGAGGCGGAGCCCAGAACGGAGGACCTCAAATCACCCGCTGTTGTGGCACCGGCAACAGGGGAGGCCAGACCACGTGTCGCAGGCAAGCGGTCCCCCGAGCAGGTGGCCAAATGGACGGAACAGATCGCCAACATCAAGCAGCAGGCAGAGACCAAAATCAGGGTGCAGGAGGAGGATCCGCATCATCGGCGGCGGCTTCTTGGGCAGAGGCGGCGGCGATTGCCCCCTCGAAGAGCGTTCCTGCTGCTGGTGGCGGGGGCTTTTTTGACGTGTTCTTTTGAATGGTTACGCGGTGGGGCTTGCGGGCCGACAAGTACCTGGCCGAGGAAGGCAAACGTGTGGGTATCAGCAGGATGTCTGAAGCGCACGTGGGCGTCAGTGGAGTGGAAAGCGTCGGAGAGCTTGTGGGCCGCGACGGATGGGGGCTGATGGCTGCGCTGGCAGTGTCAACCAAGGGATCGGACACTGGTACTTCGTGGTGGTGAGTTCATCGCAGCGAATGCCCACCTGGCTACTACAGGTCGTGACGACGTGGTTCGGAAGAGGCAGTGCGAGGCTGGTGGCAGGGGCCCCTTCGTCGGGTTCCCGGCCATGTCTGCGCGCGCCAGGTCTGGCAAGGCAATTTGGTTCCCGGCTCATCTGATGCCCGAGGAGGAGTCGGGAGGCAGCAGTTCCAATCGTATCAAATCCCTGGCTGGCTTGATTCTCGCTGACTGACCCATGGGTGGCCCTCGCCGATTGGGGCGTTTCCTGTTCGGAGACGACCTGGCGGACCTCCCGGGAGAGCTTAGCGGAGTGGCCGTCGAGCCAGATGTGGAGATCGCGCGCGACAGAGGCCGCGGTGGTCTCGTCGACGCGGCATCGCCAGGGTCGACCTCGCAGGGAGGAGGCGGCTGAAAGCGCAAGGGGGGCCGCCGTAGCGGACGCGCTGCGGGCTGCATCTGGTCATCGCGGGTGCGACGGGGGCGCGGTGGCGTCGGCAGATTCAGCGGCCCGTGGAGCCACTGAGGCGGGGCGGGCCAGGGTCGGCCCCGCAGGAAGAGGGCGAGGCCGCGAAGAGGATGCGCAAAGAGCGCTAGCGACCCTCGGGTCTTCCACTAGGGAGGCGCACGAGGAGACGGACGACCTGGTGGAGGAGGAGCTCGAGGAGAAAGCCAATCCGTGCAATGTCGCGGGCGACGCGCGGGCGGAAGGGATGGTCGCATAATCAAGTGGACGGAACGGGATGGGGATCTGGGAGGCACTTTCGAGGCCCCCGGGCCTCTTGGGCAGTCGCGGGGCTTCTTGGGGCCACTTTGGGCCTCTTGGGGGCCTCGTTGGGGCCTCTTGGAGCTTTTGGGGGGCTTCTTGGGAGCTTCTTGGGGCCTCCTGGCCCCTTCTTGGGGCGGGGGGGGGGCGCTCGAGTTCGGGGCCCCCTCGGAGGCCGCGATCCTTGTGAGGGGCGTCAAGACGTGCCCTCCCCAGAGACGCGCGGGCTGCCGCGGCGAGCCTTAGGGCCCCCCCGGAAAACGGAGTGCAACTCCCCCCCCCCCGCCCAACGGAGTGCAACTCGCCCCCCCCCCCCGCCCTTCCCCCCCTCTCCGGCAGGGCCGCCCCGGCCCCCGCCAAGCAGAGCCGAAGCTCAGGCTGTAGGCTGTAGCTGAGGCGTTTTCGAACTCGCGCGCAGGATCGGCGGATTTCCAGACGTATTTCTAAACGAACCAGTGTTCCCAAATTGTTGGAAGGGGGTGGTCCTCCACGCGCATTCCCAAATGCTTGTCCAGCGCCGTCGGCCTCTTTGCACATAGGGAGAGGATTGCGGGCGGGATCGCTCTCCGCAGTGGTTCGCGTCGCGCGGCGGAAGCAGGCGTCGCCGCGCAGTGCGGCAGGCGGGCCGCCGGGCAGGAGTAAGCAGCTGAAGAGGTGGATCATTGGGGAGGTTCGCCGCGACTAGGTCAAGCATTGCGCTGGCAGAGGCTCCGAGGCTTTGTTCGACGGGTTCGGCGCTGGGGCATCTTGGCTGCCGAGGCGGCAAAGTGCCGGTCCCAGTGCAGGAGCGGCGCGGGCGCGGGGCGGCGGGGTGCGCGCGTCGAGCGCGTCGAGAGCATGGGCGGGGAGATTGGCGAGCTTCGCGGAATTGGCGCGTCTCCCAGGGAAGGTTAATTATGGCGCAGATCGACAACTGCCTGGATTTGGCGGGCGACGTCGCGTTTCTCGAAGAGGACCCGCTGCGGCGGCTGGCGGGCCTGGCCGAGATGCACTCGGCAAGTCTCCGCGCGAGGGGCGTGGCGACGGGGGGGGGAGGTCTGGCGGCGTCGGGCGCGATTGGCGTCGTGGGCCCCGCCGGCATGGCGAAGATCAAGTCGGGCAAATGTGGCGCCAAATGGCGGGGCCCAGCTGGCGATGGGCAGCGCGCCATCGACGAGCTGGGGCCGCCCGGGCGGAGGGCCGAGGAAGAGGGCATCGAGCCGCCAGGCATGGGCGCGCTCCAGGGGGGGGCCATCGGAGTCACCGGCGCGACCAAGGAGGAGGGGCCAGACCGCCCTGGAGTCGCGGGCGGGCCCCCGACGGCGGGGCAGGAGGACTTTTCCAGGATTCTCCAAAAAGTCGCTAGGGAGAGCTAATTTGGTCGAGACAGTGCTGTCCTACGCGCTGTGCGATGGTTCCCATGCCGCGCTGCCTGTCGAGCTGTGGAGCCGCGCCCCCGGGGGGCGTTGCGCGCGATGGAGTGGCCATTTGGGGGTGCGCTGGGGCGCTGGTCCCAAGGGGGGGTCTTCCCTGCGATCGGGGCTGCTGAGGGCCCGCCTTGTCGAAGCGGGTATGCAGCCAGGGGTGGCGGCCATGGCGCTCCTCTCGGATGTCGAGAAACATGTTGAAGCGGTGTCGTTTTTCAGAATCATGCAGTTCCCGGCTCGTTGTGAGTTTTAGCTGCTACCGTGGGGCTGAGGGTGGCGTTAGTTTTTTGGAGTCGATTGTCAGTGGAACTGTTAAGCCAGCGACGTCGGTGCTGGCGGGATCTGCGCGCGGCGTTGCATTTGTGACGCTTTTCCCGCGCCCTGTATTGGCGTGCGCCCGCGGGATGTCGCGCAGCGGGTCCGTGGACGTGTGTGGGCGATGCCGCGGTCGGGGTCGAGGGCAGCGCCGACGCCATCGTCGATGGGGCGCCGATGGCGACCGCGCCGCTGTGCGAGGGGCGTGGTCGAGCAGAGGATGGCGGTCTCAATCGGCGCTGCCGTGATCGGCGCGGACGTCGGCAGGTGCAGGGCGGCCCCCTAGAAGCTGCGGGGGCGAGGCGAGCCGACGAGTGCGGCGAGCGCGGCGGTCGACTTCGGTTTGGGCGCGCCTGGTGGTCGGAAGAAAGTGGTTGGGGCGAGCAGCTCAAGGCCGCGTGCAGGTTCTCCAAGGTGCGGCGGCTTCGTAGAGTGGCAGCGCTGTCTCGTGAATTCAAACGGCCGTAGGTGCTGAGGGCCGTTCCGCAAGTTATTCGGCCGATATCCATCCTTTGCGGAGACAGGCGGGAAGGGTCGCAGGAGGTGTAGCAGGCGGGCGTCGTCATGTTACAATGCTCGGGATTGAGTTGGGCATGTGCGATCCACGGGGGGGCCTTGGGGTGTCAGCTCCAGTGGAATTTGACTTGTTGCACTTCCGACGGAATGTCACCGTCTGCATGCGAGGGCGGCGCGTGCTCGGCCGTGGCTGGCGAGGAGATTGCGTGAATTTGGATTCGAGAGATGGCGTCGAATAAGTGGGCTTCTTACCGCGCTGCATGTCGCGCTGATGGGTGCAGAGGGGCCGCCGACGGCGGCGAATGGGCGGCGCGGACCTGGCGGCGGCGGCGGCGGCGCGATGAGTGGCTTCTCCTGGGCGTCAGTGAAGACGCCGTCGTTGGCGCGGGATGCTTGGATTCTCTTCGGGGCTAATTTGAGGCGGACCTAATTTGAGGCGGACCTATGGAGGGGGATTTTGGTTGTCGCCTTGAGGCGCCCGCTTGGCGACGGACTGCGCGGGGGGCGACCGGTGGCCGACAGTTGCTGGAGAGAGGGGTTCTGCGCGCCGGGCCCCCTCGACGTTCGCGGGTTCGACGTCGCAGTACTTGCTGGGGGGCAGCTGCCCGAGGGGCGATCTGTTTTGTCAGAGTGCACTTTGCAGTCCGCGCGGCGCGCCCGCCGCGGATGCGGTCGCGGGATTTTGAGTCGCAGAGTCTGGTGCTGCTCCGTCAGCGCGGGGCGCGGAGACTGCTGCGACGCCTGGTCTTTGGCCGCGGCGGCGCAGGCGCAGGCTGGCGCCGCGCCGGCGCTCTGGTTGCGAGGCCCCCCCCCCCCGCACACCCCAGTCGTCCTCTTTTCGGCGGGGGGGCGTTGGAGGGGCGGGGGTTGCGGCGTGGGTGGGCGGGGTGGGTTGCGGTGGGGGGTCGGCTTATTTGTGGGCGGCTGTGCATGCGTTTTTTTTGGTTTGCTTCGGCGGCGGTCCAGGTGCCGAGCGTTCGGGTGATCTGAGACGCCGCAGATCCGGCGCCTCGATCCGCGCCATCAGCTGGGCCGGCCGTCGCCGAGACCCGGACGAGGCTTGCCGGGCGGGCCCGAGGTCCAGGATCTAAGCTTTCGCGATGGCGTTGGAGATGATTCGCGGACCGTTCGCTCTCGTTGCAGATTGCCAGACCGTCCAGAGGATGTGGAGAAGTGGGATGTTCCCGCGGGCGCGAGCGTGGACGTCTGGACCAGAGCCCGCGCCGCCTCGTCTAGCAGGCCAGGTTTTGCCACTGTGGAGTTGCAACGGGCCCCTTGTCGTTCGCGAGAGACCTCCGATCTCCCCTCCTGCGACCGCCAGTTTTGTTTGTTGTTTACTAACACGCACACACACATATATATATAGTTTATATATATATATATAGATTAAAACCATGTGCGGGCTATTCCGTTGCCGACGCGCGGGCGGCGGGGGGGCGGGGGGCGGGGCTGGCGTGGGAGTTCGGGTCGGTTGGGCTGAAGCCCAATCTTAACTGGATTGCTGTGCTTGCGCGCGTGGCCCGCAGGAGGGCCAGGCGAGCGTTGCTGGGCTCGGCGCAGGCGCGAGCCGAGCGCGGAAGCGAGCGCCAGTCGGTCAAGCGTGCCGAGTCATCCAAGATGGAGCTGGCCGTCGCCAAGTCCGCCCGCCGCCTCGAGAGCGCTGGCTCGGGTTGCGCTGGGCTCCATTTTCTTTCGGCTTGCGACCTCCGCGCGCGCTGGCCCCCCCCCCGCTTCTGCAAGCAAGCGCCCTCGCGAGGTCGCGCCTGATGGCCAGCGGAGTCTCGCCAGCTCCATTGCGCGCGGTTTCTGTCTTTTTGGCCTAAGTGCGGCGTGTTTGCCATGTTGGAGCGTCCAGACACCTGGTCAATCCTTGTTTCGGGATGTTGCCGATCTGGGTCGAGAGCGTCAAGAGAAGTCACGCAGGTGTTTATCCGAGGAGAGAGGGCCAACCAAAGGCGATTTTGGATGCGATGGCGGCGCGATATAGTTCGATCGGGGCCCAGCTGGTCAGCGCTCGTCGCCCCCGGGGCGACCTGCCCGACGCCAGCTGTTGGGCCCTGCGCGTGCCTTCTTGGCGCCGCTCAGGGGGAAGGGTTCGACGGGCAGCGGCGGCGTGCACTTCTTCGGCGCGCCGCCCAGGCCCTCCGCGTGGGGCTCCTTGCTGCTGCTGGGGCGGGCGGGGGGGAATGGCCTTTTCTCTGGGGGTTCCAATCAACCTCGGCGGAGGGTCAGCATGCCGGCTTCGTGCCGGGTCGTGGCCCCCCTTCCTAGAAATCCATGGCAGTCCTCCTCTTCCTTCGTGCTTCCAGCGTGCTGGGCCGCCCGCGCTGGCGCGCGGCTCTTCCTGGCGCGCGCCGGCTGGAGGAGCGCGGCGCCGGCCCGTGAACGTGAACACCTGGAGCCCGTTTCTTTATTGCTTGGGGCATGACGGGCGTCATGGCTCTTGCTCCCCTCCCCATGATGTAGGACCCCCCCCCAGTGCGTTTGGGGCAGTGCCGCCGTGCGCATGGGGATCCGCCTAGGTGTCCGCGTAGGAATCCGCATAGGAGTCTGGTCCGCAGTCGTCGTCGTCGTCGTCGTCGTCGTCGTCGTCGTCGTCGTCGTCGTCGTCGTCGTCGCTCGTGGTTCGTCGCTCGTCGCTCATCGTCGTCGTGCGCGCGGACGCGGCTGGAGCCTGTTTCTTATTCCGGCCCGATGACGGCAATCATTAGGTGTGTGTGTGTGTGTGTGTGTGTGGAAAGGGTGGATGACGTCACGTTTCGCGCCGGCGGCGTCTGGGAATGCTTGGGAATGATGGAGGACGGGTAGCACCAGCGTGTAGGTGGCGATCTGCACCACAACGCCTGTGTACACCACAGTGCCTGCGTGCACCACAGTGCTTGTGTACACCACACCGCCTATGTACACCACAGCAACCGCGTGCAACACAGCGTGAGCTTGTGCCACTGCGCCTGCGGGCGCAACAGCTCTTGTGTACACCACAGCGCCTGCGTACACCACATCAGCCGTGTGCGCCACAGCACCAGTGTACACCACAATGTTTGCGTGCATTGCCGTGCCTGTGTACACCGTGGCGCTTGTGTGCACCACGGCAACCGTGTGCAACGCAGCACCACTGTTGTATATATCATGTTAGAAGGAATCCTTATGACAAAGTGGAGCTCGCGACAAGGGGTAAGGAGGAGGAGGAGGAGGAGGAGGAGGAGGAGGAGGAGGAGGAGGAGGAGGAGGAGGAGGAGGAGGAGGAGGAGGAGGAAGAAGAGGAGGAGGAGGAGGAGGAGGAGGAGGAGGAGGAGGAAATGGAGGTGGAGGTGGAGGTGGAGGAGGAGGGAGGAGGGAAGAACGTCGCATTCGATTATCATCACTTTCCTGGCGTGGCGTTTAGATGTTCGTAGCAGATCCTCACGTACATGCTCCTTCTACCTGTCCTATGCACGCAGGCACTGTGGTAGACAGACGCTGTGGCGTGCACAGGCGCTGCGGTGCACGCAAGCATTGTGGTGTACAGATGCGCTGCGTTGCACATGGTTGCTGCGGTGTACACATGTACACCTGCGCTGTAGTGTACGCAATTACTGTGGTGCACACAGGCGCTGCGTTGCACACGGTTGCTGCGGTGTGCGCAGGCGCTGTGGTGTACACGCGCGTTGTGGTGCACGCGAGCGTTGTGGTGTACGCAGGCGCAGTGGGACAGATCGCTACCTACATGCTGCTCGCGTCGTCGTCGTCGTCGTCGGACCGTCGTCGTCGCTCGTCGCTCGTCGCGTCGTGCGCGCGGGCGCGGCTGTGGTGCCGGAGCCACACGGCGGGGGGGGGCGTTACGTCATACCCCTCCCGCCCCCCCCCCCCATGACGCACGTCATCGCCGAACAGAGAGAAACGCGCTCCTGGAGCCTTACCAGGATTGGCCAAATTTGCCTTTTAGCTGCATGCGTCCTCTTCTCGCCCTGCAGCCCACGACTCTTCGACAACAAACGAAGCCGCTCAGAAAAAGGAGACATTCGGGGATGCACTCCAGGGCGCTCGTCGGACGCACCCCCCCAATGGTGGGCGCCCCTCCATAGTATAGCCCAGGGTTGGGCCCCGAGTTTCTGTCCCCGAAACTTGGGACAGGACTCGACAGATCCCTTGGTGTCCCCCCCTCCTGGTTGACCTCGGCTTCCCCGCGCGATGGCCTCGGCCGCGCCCGCTGCTCCCGCCGCGCCCGCGCGCGTCGACGCCCCCCTTCCCCGCCTGAGAGGACGCCTCCCGCCGCGCTGGGGCGGGGCGCGGAGGCGCCCGAGGCGCCGCGCCCCCCGAGTGGTTGTGATGGCGGAGGAGGAGGAGGAGGAGGAGGAGGAGGAGGAGGAGGGAGGAGGGAGGGAGGAGGAGGAGGAGGGAGGAGGAGGAGGAGGAGGAGGAGGAGGAGGAGGAGGAGGAGGAGGAGGAGAGAGAGAGGAGGAGGAGGAGGAGGAGGAGGAGAGGAGGAGGAGGAGGAGGAGGAGGAGGAGGAGGAGGAGGAGGAGGAGGAGGAGGAGGAGGAGGAGGAGGAGGAGGAGGAGGAGGAGAGGAGAGGAGGAGGAGGAGGAGGAGGAGGAGGAGGAGGTGAGGAGGAGGAGGAGGAGGAGGGGAGGGGGGAGGAGGGGGAGGAGGGGGAGGAGGGGGAGGAGGGGGAGGAGGGGGAGGAGGGGAGGCGGGGTCGGGGCGATGAGGGGCGTTGTGGTCGGTGGAAGCAGCACGGGGGCCATGGGGAAGAGATGTCGCGGGGTCTTTGTCGACGCCAGCCTTTGTCATGGTCCGTGTCGGCCGTCGCCGATGTCGCGAGCGTGATCCACGAGTCGGCGCTGACCAGAGTCGTCGGTGACCGAAGTCAACGCGACGTTTTCGCGTTCAGTCTTGGTCGTGGGGAGGGAGGGAGGGAGGGAGGGAGGGAGGGAGGGAGGGAGGGATGATGAGGAGGAGGAGGCGGAGGAGGAGGAGGAGGAGGAGACGGATGAGGAGGAGGAGGGGGAGGAGGAGGAGGAGGGGGAGGAGGGGGAGGAGGAGGAGGAAGCGGAGGACCTAAAAGCTGGTTCCGGAATGACAAATTGCTCCTGGGGTAGCGGTCGGGAGCTTGGGGCCGCCGCGGCGGACGTTAGGGGAGGGGAGGGATCGGATCGATTCGGCGGGAGGAAGCGTCACGCTCCGCAGTGCTGTGTGGGGCCCTTTTTGGGCCACATGTGTGGAGCTTAGGGAGCTCGGAGGCAATTTTGGCAGTGTTTGTGTCCCTCCCTGCCCTGCGGCGCAGAAGCCACCGCGGTCCCAACCATCCACCCCAGAGAGGGAGGAATGGAGGAGAGGGTAGGCAAGAGGTCGGAGGAGGAGAAGATGCCGATGCCGCGGCTCGTCCTGGAAAGCTCCGCCACCACGGCTGGATGCTCTTCGAAGTTCTGGTCAAAGAGTGCGGCCCAAGAGAGGCCTGGGGAGTAGCGGTGTTGGGACCCTTTGTCCCCCCAGTGGAGGAGGGAGGAGGAGAAAGAGGAAGACGATGATGAGGAGGAGGAGGAGGACGAGGAGGTGGAGGTGGAGGTGGAGGTGAATGAGCATGGTGGAGACAATGGTCGTGAAAACATAACCGATCGCCCACAGTATGATCGTACGTATTTGCCATATTGCACGCGGGCCAGGACCGGGATAACTCGTGTTCGCCATTTTGAGCGATGGAGCAGGAGCGGGAGAAATCGTTCCAGAGCGTTCCGAAACGCTCTCCCCTGAGATCCGGGCGTTGCAATTCTTTCCAGCTGGGCGTTTTCGTCGGGTTCGGGCCTGGAGACCCTCGCACATCGATCCGGCTGGAGAAGTGCCTCAGAAAGATGTGGTATAGGGTTTTTGTGGTGCTTCTTGGCGATGTTGCATCTTGTTCGCGTCGTCGCATCTTAATGTCGGCGCGTTCAGGAGCGCTCTGGAACGGCCGCGGCGCTCGATGCATCTTCCGCAGACGTGCGAAGCTTTTTTCAATCGGGGTTCCCGACCCTTGCCCCAGGACCAGCATTTCGCTCCGAATTGACTCTCAAGGCTTACGCCACATCCGCCGACCCTTTGCTTTTCTTGGGGGTTCTCTTCCGGCGTTTCGGAATGCGCTACGGCATTCAACTGGGCTGTCATGGTCTCCGTCGAAGGCCCGAAGCGCTTCGCAGATCCAGTGCTTATATGTGTAGGACTGAGCGTGGCATGATATCTGTCGGGGGGTCCTCAAGTAAGTTGTTTGGATGCCCCCTGGGGGCAGCCTGGACGGTCTCACAATTCTGGTGTGCACTGGGGATTTCAGTGCGTGTCATCATCTTCTATGTGTTCCAGGGCTCCCGCTTCGGACTTACTCGTACTTCCTATGCCCTCTTTGGGGTCGTTCCGCGCAGGGTACGCGGATGGGGTGGGGCATATGACACCATGCGGATCAGCGGGAGACCCCGCCCCGGGAGGGCAAACTGGGTTGGAAGAGGAAGCGCGGTGGACCGCCGTCGCCGTAAAGGGCTGGACGGACTTTACTACAAGTTTTAGTGCCCGTTGCTGCAAGTTGGTGCGTGCCCCCCGTGCGCACTCCAGGTCGGAGGCCTGGAAATTGGCACCAACACCAAGACAGGGGGTTGCATCCACAGGGGGAAGGTGATCCTAGATTTTCGGTGTTCATGGTAATCGTTCGGCCACCTTGGAAGCCAGGATCTTACCACCATCACCGAGATCGGGATCTTCCTCCCTCGGTGGAGGCACACCGCCGAAACTGGTGTCGGTGTCAATCTCTAGGCCTGCGACCAGGTCAGGATCGCCTGGTCGACGCGCAGTGGGCCTCGCCGATGCGAGGCGCGCTTCTCTCTCGGAACGGGGGCCTCGCGAAGGGCCTCGGGCACCCGTTCGGCGGGCGGGGCGCGCGTCGTCCGACCCGCGCGCCCCCGGTGGACCCCGGAGCGGCTGCAGATCGGATGGCGCCACGACTGCGGGTGGTGGGGGAGGAGGGAGGGCGAGGAGGACAGAGGAGGGAGGAAGTGATGGGAGGGGGGAGGGGAACGGAGGAGGAGGAGGAGGAGGAGGAGGAGGAGGAGGAGGAGGAGGAGGAGGAGGAGGAGGAGGAGGAGGAGGAGGAGGAGGAGGCTGGCGTTCCCTTAGGCGCCTTTTGCTCCGGGTGCCAAGCGTGGCGTGCCCGCGGGCAGACCGTCGCGATCGGCCCCCGCCCAGCACCGCCTAGCCTTTTCCAGTGCTGCTGCTCGTTCCCCGTTCTTCGCCCGATGTCGACCAGGGGAGGAAGGGTCAGGAGCGAAAGAAGGACGTATATGTACATGAATCCACGCTGGTTTCGAGAGTACGCATTGCGCAAATGTTCGTATAACGCGGCCGGTCTCGCGGATCGAGGGGCCGTGTTCATGTACATAGCTGGGCGCGTACGTCCTTTGTGGGCTCCCTAAAGAGGATGGCGCAGATATCCGACGACGTGATCATCGTGGTAGTTACCTCTTCGGTGTCGGCCCTCGGGCACCGTGTTCGGGCGCGTGGGACAATCAGTTCTGCTCTTTGAGTTCACCGCTACGACCGCTGCGCCGGCCCATATTGCGCCACCGTTTCTATGTTGGCGCGCCCATGGCGGACGAGAAGGAGGGTCGGGGACTCGATCAAGGGGGGCGGGGGGGACGGAGGCGGGGAAGGAGGAGGAGGAGGAGGAGGAGGAGGAGGAGGAGGAGGAGGAGGGGGAGGAGGAGGAGGAGGAAAACGAACGAACGACTCTGGGGGGCCGATCCTTGAGTCAACTCATCACGAGCAAAAAGTTGGCCCCTGAGTGGCCCTTGCAGGCAGCTTCACTCGGCATCCCGCCCCTTCGGGCAGGGCCGAATGCTCGGGCCCCAACCCGCCCTGAGGCGCGGGTATACGCGCTCAAGGGGGGTGGCGGCACGGCTCAAACTCACATATTGATGGCCAACGCAGAGGCCCTAAAACTTAGCAACATATTACCTGGGACCGAGCTTTTGCTCAGCCCAAGGTTTTGGAACCTGCCGTTCCTGGGCAGTAAATCAGCGGGAATCTCCAGGGATCCCTTCAGAGCCTGGTTCTCTGCAAAACGGAACGGCTGAGGGGCCCCCGAGGAGGAGGAGGAGGAGGAGGAGGAGGAGGAGGAGGAGGAGGAGGAGGAGGAGGAGGAGGAGGAGGAGGAGGAGGTGGCGGTGGTGGTGGCGGCGGTGAAGGTGGACGCTCTTCGACGGGTTCTTGGGGAATTTCGGGGGCCGAGCTGGGTCGCGGACGAGGCGCCCTTTTGAGAGGCTTCTCGGCCCGTGGGGCCTCTATGCGGCGATTTCGGGGCCTCCTGGGGCTTCGAGACCGAACGGGCCGCTGTGCGTAAAGCGTCCGACAACAGTTTGGATTTTGACGATTTGGCTCGTTGGGGCTCTCTCGGGGCGCCCCGTCGGGAGCGTCCTAGGGCCGTCTTGGCCGCCCGCGACGTGTCAAAGGTCACTTTGGTGCCCGCGGGAGCCTCGAGTGATCCCGGCCCCTCCTATGTTGGCTCGGTCTCCAGGGGGTTTGGCCAGTTTCGATGACTGTGCGCACGCTGCGCCCGTGCAAATTGGCGCGAACCCCAAAGCGCCGCGGCCCCCTCTCCCGTTTGGCCTGTTCAGGCGGTCGCTTGTATGGGGCGCCCTTGAAAATGGACGCGAACCCAGGGGAAGTTCGTCCCAGGGGAGGTGCCCGATTTTGCGACCGTTGGCACGGGGTGCGCGTTCAAGTGGGCGCAAACCCCCGAGGCGTTCGGCCGGGGGGGCTGGCTGACTGGGGGCCCCATGTGCGTGGGGCGACCATGCAAGTGGAAGCCCAGTCGCGAAGGCTGGGCTCGCCAGGAGTTTGCCCGCTCTGGCGGCAATTTGCATGGGGCGCCCATGGAAACTGGGGTTGGTTAAGTTTCCAGTTCGGGCCCCTCGGGGGGGAATACAGGGAGGGAAACGTTTCACACGCGTGGAGACCCACAGGGGGTCGGCGGACCTTTGACGGACTTGGGGCTTGGCGAGGGCCCCCGGATACGGAGAACTGTCGAACATCCGTCCGCCGTGACTTCTTCCATGACGTGAGCACGTGTGGGTCGTTCATGACCGCTGGATCTCAGGGGTCCCCGATCTGTCCCAGTCCGATTGTGCCCCAGTCGGTGCCTTCGATCCGCGGGCGATTTGTGTGCACCGTACCCTGTTTGCGTCATCCGAAACGTCGTTGATCGTCGACCCAAGACTGGTACGGTGCACAGGTTTCGGTCTCCAGAGCCCCGAAGTGGCCCCGGGATTGCCCAAGAGGGCCTCACGACGGCTCAAAACAGGTCAAGATGGCACCAAGATGGCTTGAGATAGCCCCCACAGAACCTGAAGAAATGCCCAGACAGCCCAAGAAGACCCCACTAGTCCCCAAGAGGACTCCGAACAGCCCCCGGGGTAGCTTCAAAAGATCAGGAGGCCTCCTCTCTTCTTCGACGTTTTTTTGTCGGGCTCCTTACCTTACTTCTTCGTCGTCGCCGTCGCCCTTTCTCTCTTTTTTTCCTCCTCTTCGGCCTCTGCTTCCTCATTCCTCCATCTCCTCCTCCTTGTCGTCGCGCTTGTCGTTGGGCTCGTTGTCCTTTTGCTCTCCTTGCTGCTTTCCCCGTCATCCACGCTGTCATGTTCGACACCCGCCGCCTTGTCGTCGCCATCATCCTTGTGTTCCATGTCCCTAAGAACCCAATGGACAAAATTGGCGCTTCCCGTTCTTGCCCGATCAGGTTGCCGCGTTCCGTGCTTTGATCCGCGGACGATTTGTGTGCACCGTGCCTTGTCCTCGTCGCGCGACATGTCGTCGATCGTCGACCCAGAATTGGTACGGCGCATCGTTTTCGGCTCCTAGATGCGCAAAACCATGCGCTGTGCAGCGGCGGAGATGGACCTGAATGGGGGTACAGAAATGGTACGGTGCATGGGCACCATCTCCCAGAGATTCCACGTTTGGTTTGTTTCAATACAGCCCTCCCAAAAGTCCCGACCGACCGTTTCCCCTGGACTGGTGCTGCATCCCGAGCTGTTGTTTGACGGGCCCAGCGAGGTCCCCTCGGAGCCTGAACGCTGCGAAGGACCTCCCTTGGAGGTCCAGCCCGCAGGTACCTCCAAGCACCTTTCCTGGGCTGCCTGCGGGCACCTCCAAGCACCTTTCCTGGGCAGCCCGCGGGTACCTCCGGGCCTCCGGGCACCCTTCCTGGGCAGCGCGGCCTGGGCCTGGGCAGTTGTTCAGTGCGTTGGAGGCCTGGGCTCGAGGCCTGCAGTCAACCCGCACAACAAGGACGGACGGCTTTCCAATGGCAGCTTCCCTTGCGTCCTTCCCAACCGGCCCATCTCTGGTCGCTTTCGCTGGCCTCGCCCCGCTCGCAGAGTGTCGACATGGCTTCCCCAGTAGGGGGCCACATGCGAACCCTACCCCTACCCCCCACGATTTTTGGGGGGGGGGGGGGGGGGTTCACTTCACTTCGCTCGGGAGCTCCCGAGCGAAGTGAACCCCACCCTCCCCTTCAGAAATCGTGGGGGGCAGGGGTAGGGTTCGCATGTGGCCCCCTGCCCAGGCCCTCGCGCCCTTGTCGCGCGCCCTTACTCGTAGGGGTTGACTGTGCCCCCGTCGGCCCCGCCCCCGTCGCTGCGGGCCGGACAGGCGGCCCGCAGTGCGGACGCCCCCGTGGCGAAGGCGGCCGCGGAGGCTGCAGGCCGGGGCGGCAAAGGGCGCCCTCGGCCGGGCGAGGAGGGGGTCTCTCCCAGACAAGGTAGCTTTGAGTCGCGCATGTCTTACAGGAGGAGTGCTCAGAAATCGTGTAAGCATAGTCCGGGGAGGATTTTTTGGCCATGTCTGAGCATTCTAGTATGGCGTTTACTGAACGGCCCTGGGCGTTTACTGAACAGCCCTGCCCTGCTTGATTCCTTCTTTGGGCGCGTTTGCTAAACGACTTCGCATGTCGGGTGGTTATTATACGGGTGGATTTTTGACCTCTAAGAGTGAAGGACTCTGGAAGCACCTGGAGAGAGCTTCGGAAGGACCTTCTGGAGAGCTTCTGAGCACGCGTATTGGGAAGCGCTTAGACAAGGCCCTTCGGGACTCGCCACAACTTCACACAGCCTGCGCCGGGGAGCCTGGACCGACGCCGGAACCATCTCCGGGGCTACCCTGCAGCTCCAGCTTCTTCATCCGAAGTCCCCTCAGCTCTCTGCGAGCTATCCAGGCAAGAAAAACTATCACTCTTGCCTGGGGTCGCTCCTGCGTGCAGCCGAGCTGGGCATCGCTGCGAAGTTCGAGGTCCGAGGTTTGCGGGCGTTTCGGTTGGTTCTCGGCGGCGCGTCCGTGTCGGGGCGCGTTTTCCGGCGGCCGCGCCTCGTCGAGAGCGTCTTCTGCGGGTGCCCGGGCCGTCCCGAAGGGCCGCTGGAGGCCCGAGCTGTGACCCGAAAGCCACTTCGCGATCGCACTCCGGGAGGGAAAAGGAGGAGGAGGAGGAGGAGGAGGAGGAGGAGGAGGAAAAGGAGGAGGAGGAGGTGTCATGAACAAACACTCGGCGAAAGGTTTCAGCCGATTTTGGCTCCAGGGGTCCTCACCACGTTTCAGGACCTCGGAAGAAAGACTCAGGATACCGAGCTGGTGCGGTGGAAAAATCCGAACCCTCCCCTCGCCGATCCACGGTTTAGGCACCTCGGTAGGCGGCGGGGGTAGAGCTCGGAATCCATCGAACACGCTGCGAAATCCGACCCCCATCCCCGCCTCCCATCGATGGTTGGTGGGGGTCGGGCTCGGATGTCGCCACCTACCGGTTCTCCAGTCGGCGGCGAGCCGGGGGGCGGAAGGCAGACGAGGCGGGCCTTCTCAGAGGGGTCCGAGGAGACCTCCGGCCCTCCGAGAAGTCCCCCGAGCCTCCCCGACGACGCGGACGACTTCTCGGAGGGCCGGAGGGCTTCCGAGCAGCCCCGCGGCCACCCGAGGAGGCCTGCTCCCGCCTGCTGGACCCTGGGCTCGCCGCCGATCGGTGCGCCCTCGAGCCTGGAGCCTACAGCGCAGTTTCGGTTTGTCGGTTCCGTTCGTTCTTATTGGTAGAGGAAAAAGAACTATGCACATACACCGATTCTGGCCAAGCCCATCCTGAGGCCAGGATCGGTGCATACGCCCTCCTACCTTGGCCAGGAAGGCATATGCACCGATCCTGGGTCAAGGATGGGCCTTGCCAGGGTCGGTGCATGTGCATAGTTCTCCTCGCCCGAGTTGGTTTGTTTTGGTGTCGTCACCGTTTTCGTCTTCTGGTAGCCTCGCCGATGCTGCTCCGCTTGCTTCCGGCTCCGGCGCGCAGCTTTTCCGTGTAGGTGATGCGTCTCCCATCTGTTCGTTTCCGTGCTCCAGGGCCACGTTTCTGGAAACGGTTCAAACAGCCGTTGTGCAGCTTCCAGGGCCCACCAAGTTCTCAGGAGCTCTTCTGCCCTGCAGCCTTCTGAGTAGCCGAGTAGCCGTCTCCCGTCCCTTCTGAGAAGGCTCTCAGAAGGCCGCCCCACTTCTCCCTTGTACCCTCTGCCACCGTTCGCCCTGGGACCTACAGGCCGGGAGTCGTGTCTCTCTCTCTCTCTCTCTTGCTCTCTCTCTCTCTCGCGTTCTTTTTGGTGTGGGGGGTTGTTTGTTTTGTCTCTATTTCTGTCTGTTTTTCTCTCTCCCTTTCTGTCTCTGTCTCCGTCTGTGTCTGTTTCTCTGTTTCTGTCTCTTTTTCTCCTTATGTTTCCAAGGACACGGTTCTTTGCGCGTGGTCGCTATTGCAGATTGGCTGTCGTCTGCTTCGTTAGCATGCGTAGCAGGTCTTGTGGTTGCCCTGGGCCTTTCTCTTGTCCTGCATCTTTTGTAGCATTCTATGGACTTGGGGGCACTCTTTTCTCCGCTTCTCTCCCTCCCCTGCGTTGGTTTCTCTGCCCTCTCTCGCAACCCCTGCGTTAAGGATTTCGACGGTCGTTGAGAGTCATTGTGTCCGCACGCCTCAACGAAGCTGATCTGCTCATGATTATTGTTCGTCTTATTCTTCGTCATAGTAGTCGTGACTGCAGCAGTCGTAGTAGCAGTCGTAGTCGTAGTAGTAGTAGTAGTAGTAATAG